AAACGGTTCCTTCGCGTGGAATATAATGATTTTTTGTCCTCGTGTGCATTTTGTCGATATGCGCGAATGAAATCGACGTAACGGTATATATTATACGTATAAATATAAATAAAAAAACAAAGCTTCCTCTATGAGGAAGTAAAAGATAATATGTGCATGAATAATCCGATTATATATATATATTTTTTTTTAAATTATTTAATCTTTGATATATAAAACTGTTATTTTTAAAATATATACGCACGCACGCACACATACACGTGATTATTAATTAATATTAAATACATGTCAATCGAATAAAGTTCAAAATTTATCTAATAGAATTTGCAATCAATTAAAGAGCTGTGTTTTGAATAAAATGTACATGTAATAGAGTCTCTCTTTATCTCTCTCTGTCTCTCTTTTGCTATTATTCCCTATTGTCCTAATGATGGATAATCATAAGGCTTTCCTTGAGAGTCTCATTACGAATCAAGTACCCCTTAATGGCTCCTATGAAACTCATTGGCCATTTAACGCCGAGGACACGCCGCGACGTTGAATGATTGACAAGTTTGAGAGCAAATTTTCTCGTCAATCCCATTCCATCTTACACATTCATAATCAAAATTTTTATATGTAATATTTTTTTGTATATATAACAATTTTATGTGTAGTTTTATATAAAATATCGTAAAATACTTAAAAACATATATCTCTAGAAACTGCAGTAAATTGCATCTGAATTTTTTTTTTTTCTTTAAATTTTTTGATGATCTTGAAACGATCGTGAACGATGAAAAAACTCTACAATATTAATACTAATATTATCTATTATATTAATATTAATCTTAAATTCTTATTGCTGTTAAATATTTAATATGCGTGTCTAAAGTTAATATGTAGATGGCAGTTTTATTAATACGGCATCATATACGCGATACGTGCGTAAGTTTTAACAATGGCAGTCTCTCCATACTTGCGTACGTACGGTCGACACCCTTTACACGTTCCCCTTGCGGAAACGCGACGTCTCCATGGTTACAACATTGAAACCCCGCTGGGGGATGACAAAATGGAGAGGCGCAATACTCGGCCCGACAAAAGCGAAGTAGAATCGAAGAACGCCGTCGACTACGTGTACCCGTATTTGAAAGGTCGATTTCTATATACAAAGTGCTCGACGTAATCGCACTTTGCTGATAATGTACTCGCTGATAATTAAAGTCATCCCATGGCAGAGCAATGTAGCACTTTAAGAAATCAATTCAGGAAGTCGATTTTTTTTTCAAACAGCTGTCAATCTCTCTCTCTCTCTCTCTCTCTTTTTTAATGATGTGTTGATTAATATTTTTTTAAATCTGCATAAGTACACATATGTCTCTGCATAATACTGTAAAATCTTAATAATACAAGCACGTACAAACAATGTATATAAATGATTTCTGTTAAGCTAACAATTTTCCAATCATACAGCTGATATAACAGTTTCACGGTTAATTCATCATTTATTGAACATATTATCAGCGTCTTAATTTTGAAGAAACTATAATTATTTCGAGAGGTTTTATTATTTCATAGAAAACAATTTTCCGCGAGATATATTCTAATTTACTGATATTGATAATTTTATATTGAAAATATAAATATATGAGAAAATAAAACCGAAATTAAATAATATTAAGATAGCAATACACATGAATATGTATATTGTAATTTTATGATGAATCTGAGATCTCCCTCTCTTCTCTTTTTTTTTCCCAAGATTAATATTTTCAAAGTTAAGCATGAAAAGAAGGGGCGAAAGGAATACTCGTATATTTAAGGCGCAATCGTATTTCGCATTGCCGACAATGTGATCCAGGTGAAGATCACATCGTGATTCACGCGGTCTCCCGATAGTACCCGTATTGACACTATCTGTCATCGGAGACGCTACGAATCACGAAACGCGAAACGTCACGTTCCTCGACGTTCACCCTAACCGGAACAATCCGAATGATCGTATCTACATATTTCAACGACACGATCATCTCTTTCTCTCTTTCTCTTGATAATAATAAAGTATAAAAATACCCGCTTCTATCTCTGTTAAAAGCATATAGACACATTGCAACATTATAATTCTTCTTATTTAATATTATACTTAATAATTTATGACACAAAAATTATATTAAAAAAAATTTGTGCTTTAAAGATATCCTGGCAGAGTGCAATTATTTTTTCTAAGCCATTTTTATTATTTTTTAATTATGTTATGCTGACGCTGCTAGTTATTAATTTTGCAATTAATGTTATCGCAAAATAAAATTAAAATTTGAATTATTACTATAGTATTTTAATTCTAACATATAAAAATTATATTTAGGATGCATTCGACAACAACGTTGTGTGAAGACTAAATATGACAAACTGTCAGAAAGCGGGGAAAGTCTTCTTGGTGGCTGATAAACAAAGGAGGATAAAATGGCTACCCGTGGTGTAGAAGCGGATAGTCTAATCCCGGATGAGACGACGGCGGATGTACGACGACGACGGCGACGGAGACGAAGGTGGAAAAGAGAGAGAGAGAGAGAGAGAGGAGCGAGAGACGGCGTAGACACATCTCTCGGATTACGTCTTAACAAGCTCCACGACGTTCATTTGTCTTATCCGTTGCCGCTAATGCGACAGCAGCTGTTGAAATGATTAATTCGGCGCGAGGACGCCGTCTTGTTCCGCTCCGCTCGAGCACTCGATTTTGTCGTCGCAGATGCGTCGCGGTTAATCAACGCATTGCGGTTAATCACCGTCGTTGTGAAATACAAAGCCAAACGAATAACGTTTGAATCTAAATAGAAATGTGGCTTTGCCGTTTGTAAAATCGATGTAACAATAATTTAGAAGGCATATATCGATAGAGAACGTAACAATAATTTACAAGGCATATATCGATAGAGAATTGATATTCTCTAAACAATCTATAAGTCCTACACATTTGACGTAGGATATTTTTTATCTGCGGTAAACTTAGCTGATAGATCTCGAATCCAGTTTGACATGTGTGTGCGTTTTAAGAAAATTAATCGATCTAATTCAATCTAATCCTAAACGCTAGTGACAATTGCATAACCGTGATTAAATTCAGCGCGCAAGATATTCCACCGCACGATCGCTCATTGTTCATAAGAGAAACCCTACGTGCGACTATTCGCACCCTGTCCAAACAAACAGAAGCGAGCTCGCGCGATCTAATTGGATTAATTTTCAATTTGTCGGGGCCACCTGTCGTCGCGGTGCACCGATCGCGCGTGCCGATCGATGACTAATCCGCGAGAATGAGAACCCGCGCGACTCCGACGAGCGCAGTCAAAGCCGACTATTAGAGTTGCGCGAGAGAACAAAGAAGCGCGGAGCGACAATTGTGCCTCATCGCGCGGATATAGAGTTACAGGCGCGCGAACGGAGAAAATGAGCGGCGAATATTAAGCCGGCGTAGCAAAATGGCCGACGGGCGAGAGAAAAAAATAGGGACGCATTAGTCTCTGTCTTTCTCTCGCTCGTCACACGACAAGCGGAGGAGACGCGTAACGAACACTCGGTTCCACACACTCCGCTCGTCGGGTTACGACGTGACGCGGGTCGAAATTTTGCCGCGTCGCTAACGCATGCGCGACGCACGCTGATCGAAAGCCCCGCCCGGTCATTCTACCTTTGTTTAATTCACGCGGTATCTACGCCCACGATAACAGTGGTGTAACTAAAGGGTCCTGTAAAACTCGCGAGAGAGATGTCTATAGAACATTTTTAAAAAATGAGGGAGCATAATCCTAAAGAGTAAATGTAAAAAAAAAAAGAGAAAAAGATAATTTTCAAAACAAGAATTCAATTATATGATCTTATTGTTAGGCAAAAGTTCAGTATCTGAAAATAGTGTTAGAAAGTACATTGTCTATAATACTTAATATAATACTGTCTATAACAATAATATGATCTATATATAATTAGTGAGTTAATCAATTCTAATCAGATGAAAGAAATAGAATCGATTGTATTTTCTTGACATTGATAGATTATTCACATGTCAATAATTCTTTAGGATTATTTTTAGCATCGATTGTTTCGCGAATTCTCAAAAAGATACTCTCTGACATATAGAAAATATCTGTGAAAAAAAATTTATATATAATTTCACAAATTGAAGGATTTCAATTAGAAAAATGAGATAAAATCTTATAATTTGTGATCTCATTTTATTTTTTGTATTTAAAACGGAGTTTACAAATTGCGGACTTATTTCATTTCTTTATTGAATTCTTAATTAGAAAATAATTATAATAGACAAATACGAAAATAGAACTACGGAGTAAGTCTACAACAACTGGTAGCGTGGCCGAGCGGTCTAAGGCGCTGGTTTAAGGCACCAGTCTCTTCGGAGGCGTGGGTTCGAATCCCACCGCTGCCAATCTTTTTGCACATATTTCGTGAAAATCTATATTTTGTGCAGAGAGATAATATTCTTGCTTTGAAATATCATGACACAATATCCATTTTAAACTTTTGATTTATGATCATCTATTGTCGATAATTAAGTGTTACCAGATTATCTATTGTCAATAAATGTGTGTGTTACTTATCTACATACAAACTGCGTCGATAAAACAAAACTTAATATATATATATGTGTGTAAGCTCAAAAAATGCAAGATTGAATAGATTTAAATACATTTAAATAATACGATTTTAATATTTTTACGCAATTTAAAAATATTGCGATTAGTAATCGATAAGTAAACGAAAAGATAACAAAATCTGAGTTTGAAATCATGTTTCATGGAAGTGCTGATTATTTGGATTCCAACATATATGAGTCGATTGCGCATAATTATTTTATATGTATACTTCGAAATCTCATCATCAGATAAAGATTGATACACTATTATATATTACATACACTCATATGTATATGCTATATATTATATGAGTTAGAATAGATTAGAATGAGATAGCACGGGTACAAGTCCATAGTTCAACAACGATCGGCTGACAAATGTCTTTTTCTTCCATGAGGCAAAGCAGTAAAGAAAAAGAAACTATTAAGCGAATATAATGGACCGACACGAAGACAAGGAAACGATTTAAATTTAAAGGATAAAATATTTCTCAAATGGAATTTCAAAGGTTGTATGTTATATTATTTATATAATATATAGTATAAAATATTTTTCGTTTT